GGGAGTCAAAAAAGCCAAGATGATGGTCATTCTGATCAGGCATAAAAGATGGCAGGGCTTCAATCCCATGGCCACAGCCACCATCTTGACTTTTTTGACCCCTTCCTGTAGACACCCCTGGCTGGAACTCTGAGGCTCTCTGAAAGCTTTTGCATTGTTGCTGAACTCTTCCTCTTAGCATCTCTCACCACTGGCTGTCCTGGACAGGGCTACTGGGAGTTATAGTTGAAGTTCCCTACTTCTTCTTTGTCCTCCCTTCCTATTTATCTGAGAATCACCAAAAGAAGCCCCTTAACAGGACAACAGGATGTCAAGGAAAACAGCCACCCCTGTACTGATCAGCTGCACCTAAATGCTTTAAGGCTGGCTCCAGGGACAGAAGAACCACCAAAATCCACCTTCAGTTCGTTGGGATTGCAACAACCAGAATCATTCTTGCTCAAAACAGCAATCTAGCTTCAATCACAGCTTTTGCTTGGGGAAATCTTTATTTTTTAAAAAAAATGGACAAAAATTGCTCTGATGTTGCCCCACCAAACCTTCTGCCTGGGGCATCAGAGATGTGGAAATGTCACTCGGCATCCTCTGTCTGAGGTTTGTGTGTTTGATCTTCAGATTTGAAACCAGTTGATTCATCTCTATCTCCAGTGGTAAGAAAATGAATCTCCCATCAAAAGCAACACAGCTTTGCTTTTCTCTCCCTCTATGGAACCTTTCTGCAACCAGCTGGGAAAGAATGGCAATGGATGCAGACACACAACCACACACACACAGACTCCAAACTTCCCCAGTCCGGCTGCCTTCAGAAATGTTGGAACTGTTAACTCCCCAGAATTCCTCAAGAGCATTCCAGAATGTTCAGACACATGGAATTCCACTTCCCAGAATCTGGGACTTAGCAGTTATGGGTGCTGGACAATGAATCTGAAGGAGCAGTGAGCTCACCCGTGGCCAAATGGGTTAGGAGGATGGGTGGTGTGAATTCAGAGATGACCACTCAGATAGCTGCAGTTACAGATAAGTCAGGAACCAGATCTTCCTTGTGGTCTTTGTGATTCACACATGTTGTTATGGACCTGCTGGACATGTCCTCTGAGGAGGAGGATGGGGAAGTGAAGTCATTGGCTCCACCACTACTGCAGTCATCCATGTCAAGACTATTGTCCTTAAATGCCCCTGACTCCTCTTCCTCCCCACCCTCCTCATCAGAGGACATGTCCAGCAGGGCCATAACACACAAGGGTTAGTAAGCTTCTTATCTGGAAGAGGGTCTCATTGTCAAAAGGGGATCAAAGAGATGATGGCAATTCCAAAATTGCATCCATATGGAAGCAGAAGTCCAGTCTAAGTACTGAATGAAGACACAAGAACAATCCCACATGGCATTATTGGAGCTAGCATGGATTGGACTTTGGCCAGTTCATAGTAAAGCTTGACGGTTGCTACTATCCATTTGGAGATACTGGGATATATCCCCAAGGTCACATGATCAAAATTCGGGTGCTTGGCAACCAGTATGTATTTATGACAGTTGCAGTGTCCTGGGGTCATGTGACCACCATTTGCAACCATCCAGGCGGCTTCCAACAGGCAAAGCCAATGGGGGAAGCCAGATTTGCTTAACAACTGCAGCAAAAAAGGTTGCAAAATTGGGTGCAACTCACTTAACGACTGCATTGCTTAGTGATGGAAGTTCTGGTCCCAATTGTGGTTGTAAGATGAGAAAAATCACAAAATGATGGATATGATGTTGAAGGGACTTAAACTGCTGTTCCCTCAAAGGATTTCCATCATGTTGCATAGAATGCCCTTGTGAAAGATTTCCAAAAAGGCAATAGAACTGGCTCTACCCGGAAATGTTGTGGAATTGAACCAGAATATCATCCTGAAATAATGGTGCCTCAAAAAATTAAGGTTCTGAAGATCCAAAATGGGTCTAAGCCCACCATCCTCCCGTTCCCTGGAGGACCATTCTCAATCCCCACTTTCTGTAGAAGAGGAAACTTGTGATGTGGCTTTGAAGATGCCTTAGAAGTGGCAGAGTGATTTGGTGTGGGGTAAGCCAGAATTATGGTTACCCTGTAAAATGATCAATAGAATCCAAAGTTCATTAGCTATAGGAAGGCTGTGTGCCTTGAAAGAAAGTAGGCAGTCCCTGAATGGTCACTATGGGGAAACATTAAGGTTAAAGATGCAACTTCAAGAATGGTGCTTATGGCTTTGTTCTGCTGGGTGTGTAACCATATGCTCTTTCGCCTAAAAGACTGGTAGCCTTTGATCAAGATCTGGGTGGCACCAAGAGTAGTGTGCGCTATTGTATGAAGCTTTGAACCCCATCCAGGATGTGATCAGTTTTATTCTACCATATTGAAGGAAAGGTCCTCAGTTCTAGCCATAGCCTCCAGGGCTAGTCCAATGGCGCAAAGCCAGACATGGTGATGAAGGGCAGTAGAAGACAAAGTCACATTGGTGTTGACTCAGGCATATGATGAGACCTAATTCTTTCTCGCCTGGGAAAATCTGCTGCTTCCTTTTGGAAAGAGATCTGCCTTTTATAACAAATGTGATAGGAATGTAGATATCTTGTCCTGCAAAAAATTATGGCATTTTTCTATGTGAGCAATACAGAGAAAGAACCCCTAACACGTGCAACTTGTTAAAAGGATCAGGAAGCAGCTAATGAAATTAGGGTCCCAGAGCAAAAGTTAATCTGAGTAGACAATGCCAGGAGATGCCAAAACTCTGAATCTGAGTCTTCTGCAAGTAATAGACAGAAGGCAAGTGCCTATGAAACCTAGAACTGATGCACCAAAATTCATTCTGATGCCTCCATGGTCAGTAGGTGAATTAAACCAACTTTTACTTCCCTGATTAAAAAAAAAAAAAAAATTAACATCCCCAGCTGTTCATAGCATGCATCCTTTACTACTGATCCTCCGCTCTTTTTTATACCCAAACTATGTATCAACCTCTTCTTTGGCTAGGTGAGATCATGGCTAAGTCTAGCTTAATCTTAAGTAGACCAGCCTTTCCAAACCTGGGTCCTCTCCTGATGTGTGGACTTCTACTCCTAACCCCCCACCCCCCACAGTCAGCATGGCGTTGCTGAGAATTCTGGGAGTTGAAGTCCACACATCTGGGAAATTTCTTGGGTTGGGAAATATTAAGCTGGCCTGAGCAGCAAAGACTGCTATTTCAGCTAAGAATGGGATGGACTTTTGCCTTATTTTTTAATGTATACATCTGATTTTATACAGGCACTCATCTCATTGCATTGGCCTAGGTCAGCTCAGAGATTACCCCACCACACACAAAAAGGCCCCCCAGAAATATAATATGCAAAATAGGCAACCAGAATCCTAATACTAAAAATAATAATGTGACATCCAGGATTTAAAGCAGATGATGTAGCACTCTGGCTATGGCCTCTTCTCAGATGTAGCATCCATGTTTAGGAAGACAGTGAAGGTGAAGACTGACATCTACAGGACAAAGGCTTTAACACCCATTGCATTGCCTGGCCCATCATGTTGCCCCAAGGACACATCTCTGGGTTGCCTACATGTGACCTGACTCAAACATTCACTCCAAAGAATAGGTGCTCCATTGGTTCATCTGGTCCCTGGTTCCCCAGCTGGCTGGGGGATTCTGGGAGTTGAAGTCCACACATCTTAAAGTTGTCAAGTTTGAAAAACACTGCTTTATACCCACTCAAGACACCCATTAATCTCTTGTGGGATTATTTCTACCAGACCACCTGGAGCCCTCCAGATGCTTTGGGCTTCAGTCCCCAACCACCTCAGCTTGCATAAGCAATGCATTTGTGGGAGTTGTAGTCCAAAATTACTGGAGAATACATTGATGTCGTATTATACAGATAAGTCTGTATGAATATACACTGTATTCCCAGCCAGACACTGAAAGATCTGGGAATGTTTGCAAGCCAAGTAGAGGAAAGGACTTCTAACTAGATATTCCTTTCTCAGCATGAAGTCTTTGTGTGGTTCAAACATTAAATTATTGGGAAATAGTCCAGATACAGTATTGTAATTTCCCATTGGACCCCTCCTGTTTCTCTATTTCTTCTTTCAGTGTTTAAGCCCCTCCCGAGACCCACTAGTAATTATAAAAATAAAAAAATCACAAACATGAGAAAAAACAAATAATTGCACAAAGCTTTTTGACTGATATAACACATTAAAACTTTTCAAAAGAAAACTTTAGGCCGATCTCCAAGCCCCCATTGCTGGGTAAGGTGGACAATGAAACGGTCCCTGGTTGACTCTAACCATTCTTGGATGAAACCAACTTTCTGGTTCCATTTCAATCCATACTTTGGGAGAAACTGCTCAGATTTCTCATCTAGTCCATCAACTCATTTGTTAGCAGAAACTGGTTCCGTTCTCCCATGTGTCACGGGTCTCAGGCACTTTTCAGGTCCAATTCATGGTGCTGGTTTTAATATGTAAATCTTAAAGCAACTGGAGTGTTATACCAGCTGGTAGCGATAACTGTTGGGTTTACGATTTACCCAACCAGCTGTATTGGCTGGCATCTATACACTATCTATAAAACTTTATCAAGTACTTTGAAACTACACTAAATAATTTGCATTTATGCACAGCAAACAGACAAATAGATAATTCAGGGTCTTCTGTGGAGCCATTCCATGGAGGCTGTTTGTTGCATGTTGTATAATTCATTGCCCTGCTTTCTTCCAACTAACTCTCGTAAGTATAACTATCTCACAGCTATTGGGGAATAAGATAATGTCCTTCTTGTCCATTAGATTGGGACAGGCTAGCCTAGCAAGTAGATAAAAGTGCATTTGTTCACACTTGTTTAGCCACTTTTAAGCCAACATGGATAGGGAAAAGCCCCAAGTCTTACAATGCTTTCTCAAGCGGTCATTAGTCACAAGCACACACAAACATGTTGGAAAACTCCTATGCATCCTTCACAAATCCAAGCATCTCTCAAGAAAACAACTAAGAGAATCGTTAAGTGAAAAATATATTTTATTTTTTAAAACAATAGCTGCCAGCAGTTTGCCAGTATATCTGTAAAAGATATTCCAGAAAAGTGAAAAGAAGCATCTTACAATATGTCATATGGATTACCAGGTATCTCTCAATACAAACGCCAAATAAATATCCTACCCATTCTGTGAAGTTTAAAATGTTGTGGGATTTTGTTTTCAATATACTTTTTTAGTTTGAATAATCTCTTCCGATATAGTCAAAAGATAAGAAACTTGGCTTTATCTAGGAAACTGGCTTCACAAGAGCTAAAGCCTCCTCCGTTAGTCACAGCTGAAAGAAACAAGGTATTAGTGTTCAGCATTAAAAGCTGATTTAGCGCTGCAAACAAAAAATATTTAAACTGAAGCCAGATTTCAGGGGAAAGGCAGAACGTCTTTGTACAAAGCTAACTTTAACTTCTATGTGGCCCCCGGTACTTATATAACTGTATACTTATATAACTGTATACATGCAGTATCAAGGCATAAAGCATTAATTTTTAAAAAGGCACAGCAGTAGCCCAATTCCTTTTGTGACCCATTTGCAATATTCAGAGTTTCTTCCCATAAAAACCACATACCTTTTAAAAAATGCCCATCACATAACCAGAACACATATAAACAAATGTGGGGCTCCATTCAGAACTGAGCTCTCATGGAGATGGCAAAATCAAGGGTTGTGTTTAGAGTACATGCTGGTTTCTGTCTGAACAAAAATGACATATTGCAAGGACTTCACAACTCTACACGCTTTGGCAAGGAAGTTCAACTTATCTTCCTGTTATATAAGATTCTATCAGCTAAACTAAGCAGCAACATTTTTTGGAAAGCACAGCTTACGCATGTTGAATGTTTTTACTGCAACTTTAGTGAAGTTTGAGCATACCAGCAATACTTACTCAGCCAGCAAAATATTTTTGTCATGTTCAAGACAAGAGTTCCCAGCCAATAGCCCAGGCACAGATGTAGATGAAGGTCCTACATGCAATTCTAGTGCGAGTACAAGAAAAAACAATTCCCCCTCCCCTAAAAATGGCCAAAATCTTGCGAGAGCGGCCTTCTTGCTTGAAATCCTGTAAGACTTAGGGTGGTTGCTCAACATCCCACATAATTTCAGGCAGGAACACCAAAATCTTGTGAAATTTGGCAGCCTAGTAATATTTCAGCCTTTTGAATTCCACAGTCCTGTTGACAATGTTGGAGAGCCTCAGAACCCGTAGATGCCATACTGCTAAGCCTTGACTTATGCGATTCACCTTCAAGAAAAATGTGAGCAACACAGAGTTATGGCATTGCCCCTTTCCTCGCACACTAATCTTGGCTGCAATCTCCTAGACTGACTTCTGTGTAAACCATATTCACATGAGTTGGAAGCACGTGGAGGATTGCACAGAACTTCCAGAGCTTTGTGCCTCATAAGCTGCATCTATGAGTTGCCCATGTGCCACCTTTTCATGGTACCCAAACTTGCACCAGCATCACCTTTCTGTTTGGCACTGTCATCTTTAATTAGCATTCATGTCCTGAACTCCAAAGTGCACATCTGCGGGCCTCAGAACCAACTACAAAGAGTGATCCTAAAGCACGCGTGGAGCATCTGCTTTAGGCCTCAGGGTTACTGGAACTGGCCACATTACGCAAAGGGGCAAACGGATACAGGCTTGCATCTGGACTGCAGCGACCCTCATCACTACTCCTCTATCTAAGAAGTTGTCCTAGCTTGCCTTGTCTAGTTTTGTGGAATATTTCAATAGGGCTCTCTTCCAAGTATACTGACATCTGGATCAGTGCACGGAGTATCTGAAAACCATTTCCAGAATTAATGAAAATTGGGCAGTTTTAGGTGGGTCCTAGAATCTTAATGGCAGACTCACACCTCGCCCCATATAATAAAGGCTCCAGCAAAAGCAGAAGACTCTTTAACAGACTCATCACAACCCCACTGGGAGTAGCAGCCAAGCCAAGCCTGGGTCTTCTCAGCCTTCCATAAAGCCCATCTGTGTAAGGCTACTTATTTGAAAAACTAAACAAGTTAATTTCTGCTATTGTATTTGAATGGAACTCCCTCTCTCTTTCGTCTGTCTTCTTTCCACCCTACCCCATGCCTCTCTCAATTTATTTGGGGAAAAAAATGCTTTGGTTCATGTGGCCCATCATCCAAACCATTACATACATGCACCCTGATCTGTGGGCAACCAGCCCAGCGACACACCGCAGATACACCACCGGTTGAGTGAGTTGCTCTAGTCTGGTTTACCAAATCAAGCCAAGAACAAGCTCTGGCTTGCACCAACAGCTCAGGAAGGGTCCCAAAGTCAGAATACCTCAGCTCAGGCTAAACAAAACATTCCTGACCTGTTCAGTGGTAGCAGGAAAGGGAGAGAAAAAGGCTGCAGGCCCCAGTGTGCAGCTTCTCCAAAATACAACCAGGATTCTCTTCTGGCGTACGGGGCACTGAAACACGTCCAGTCCAAGAGATGCTTTCATGCCAGTGAATTTCCAATTTGCCAAGAAAGGTGATAGGAAGGTAAACTAGGGCAGATTCTTATTCAGTCTGCATTTGCCACTACTTGCTACTTAAGAGCTCAAGCCAGATTACGTGCAGCAGTTGTACCCCTTTGCTATCTCCTTATGGAATGTGAAGGCCATGCAAGTCAGCTGAATCAAAGGCAGTAGGGAAGTATCAGCAAGGGTTGCTGAAATTAAATCTCTGAAACATCTCTTATTGTCAGATGCCTTGCCCAAGAGGTCTTCTGTTCCTCTTCTATGTTCCCAAGTTAAACTAACTAAATTAAAAGGTATCCCTGTATTTCTGTGCAAATTTCCTCAAAGGTAAAGCATAATGAACTCAGTGGGGCTTGGTGCTCTGCACGTATATGGAAGGTTGGTCAGCATAACCTTAACATGAAGATACTTCCTGGCATCTAGATAAGCCAAACAAAAAGATAATTTGCATTTGGGGGGAGGAAAAAAGCACACACATCAATATAAAAGTTACCAAAAAAGAAAGAAAGAAAGAAAGACAGACATTGGCAAGACTGTTCTTTGGAGCTTACTTTTCATAGCATTTAAAGAAAACGGAAAAGTCACTCCGTGCCTGAAGCACTGTTTTTTTTTTTAATGGAAGAAAATCAAATTTATTGGGCTTTTGCTCTTTTAAAATTAAATTACAATATTATTCCTTGATGCAGTTATAGGTAAAAAAAACAAAACTGACCTTTTAATATGTCATGTTTGTGGCATGAAGAATTATTGATCAAGTACAGAGGTAAGAGACAGACAAATCATAGTGTAAGAAGACCCTAATAAAAGGGCTGGAAAGGCACTTGGTTTGCTTCACAGGAAGGATCAGACTGAAGGAATTATGCAGGTTGCCTGTTAAGGCAAGCAAGCGGATTTTTAAAGAACACTTGCCTGGAAAAAAAAAAGAAGAAAAGAACCTAGCGAGATTCTGACCTTAGCAAAGCAAGGATGCACCTCAGCCACCAAGCTGCTGCACTTCTGTGGGTGCCTGCAGGGAGGATGGTCAAGCAAGTCAAGATGGCTACCACAACCATGCAATCAAAGCCTTACCCCTTGTTTACCTGCATCAAAACGCATTTATAAAAGGGGTGTGGGTAGTTTCAATCCCATGGCTGCGGCGGCCACCTTCACCCTCCCTGCCAACACCCCTATGTGCTTCTAGTTAAGCGAAGAGTAGCTACTTCTTGAGTAAAAACCACCTGCTTCTCTAGCCTGTTGGACAGCACAGCTTTGACTGTTGCTTAAAAAATAAGTTCTGCATACTGACCAGTCCCTATTGCCCTAAAATGAAACCTCTTGCTATTACAGCCTGGGAATTTGTTTCATTATTTATAGGGATACCAAGCTTCCAAAGACGACTACTAGGTTCTGAGCTGATCAGCCAGAGCAGTGTTTCTTAATCCTGACAACTTGAAGATGTGTGGACTTCAACACATGCTGGCTGGGGAATTCTGGGAGCTGAAGTCCACACATCTTCAAGTTGCCAAAGTGGAGAAACACTGATCCAGAGGGTCAAAATAAAACATTAGACCTGTGCGAGAATATACACAGTGAACATCCATTTCCCATTCACCTTCCCCCTCCCCACCAGAGCAAAATTTGAGTAAGCAACAGTCTTGGTGCTTGAGTTTGTTCCAAAGTGTCATTCAGCTAATGGGCAAATGTAGTTCCAAAAACATGCCGAAGGGTTCTGCAAGTAACTCTCTTTGTTGAGGCTGGCAGAGCTTCCGGTACAGACAGACTGACAGGTACAGCTTTTTAGAAAACTTAAGCTTCCCTCCCAAATGCAAAAAATTGTAGCTGAACCACCACCAAGAAGCTCATCCCTTAATTTGAGAAGCTCAGGTTCAATCTGAGACCCAAAGGGCAGTTTATAAAGGTAATACTATCAAGACATCAAGCTTTCTCTAGACTGAATCACCATAGCTAAAAGAGTGGGGAGGATATCTTGTAAGTCCCTGCATATAAAAATGCTACTTTGGAAAATGGTAGATGGGACCAGCTTCCTCATTAAGACAGCGTGTAGATGTGTGTGGGTGTAACATGGAAATGGTATTCGACTATGTATTCTCTTGCCCCCACCCCCCACCCCACCTCTGGTGGTCCAGTCCAGACAAAGCTTGATTACTGGGTTCTTCTGCCAATATGAACTGGCTCTGAGACTAATCTGGGTCTAGAACCTGCACATCATGATAGAAAGCCCTGAACCGCTCAACTTTTGGGGTGCCAGATTCCAGAATTGCGTCACTGCCATATTAATGGCTGCAGTTGCCCTTTTACAGGAGACAAAACAAGTAAGCAGTGTAATATAAATTTGCATTTTTTTAAAAAAGGGAGAAAAACAAATGACAGTACCTGGTCTGCCCAGTGTAGCATTGAATTAACTGCAAGATACATGCAAAGTAAATTGTTACCTTAAAAGACAAAAAAAGAGCAGTCTGTTAAAAAAAGCTTTTCCTTATACACGTGAAACGCTGCTTATTTAGTGAGTCTTTTAGCTACATCACTGTAGGCTATTTCAATCTCTTTGTCCCCAGGACAAGTGTTGGTGAATTCATCACGGCTATAGGCATTCTTCAGGTATCTCCAGATGCCCGTCATAGTCTTGGGAATATCAAAGTTACGATACTTTTTGGCCACAATCTAGAAGCAAAAAAAAAAGAACAAAAAAGAACAAAACTGATTTTTGTACAGCATTTTGGAGAGACTCTTGATGCCTGAGAAAGAACCATCTAAATGGGGCTCCTCCAAGATCAAGTGACATGGCACATAATTCACTGAATTTCCTGCAAAAACCCTCCAAACACCAAACCAATGCACAGTGCTTCTCACTTTATGGCAGTGTTTCTCAACCTCAGCAATTTTAAGATATGTGTTGGCTGGGGAATTCTGGGACTTGAAGTCCACACATCTTAAAGTTGCCAAGTTTGAAAAACACTGGTTTAAATAAACATGATGCTAGTTGTTTCAGTCCTGGCGCCTCTTTTAATGTCCTCCTGCTTTGGTATCTGTTCTGCAAATTCTAAATTAGCTGGCAACACAAGGATTTAAGAAAACAGTGACGCAGTTTAAACTGGTTTTCAGTTTCATACATTTAGCTGAAAGTCTAGTATTAAATTCGCATGCAAGCTTGTTTCGGTTCTCACATCAAATTCCACCTACTTTGACAATATGTAGCTTGGGCAACAAGTTGCAGTCTGCTAGCGTCATCTCATCACCATCCAGGAATTTGCGCGTAGAGGCAGCGATATCTTCCATGCTGTTTTCATCAATCTCATCTGGGAGGGGAGCATTCAAGTACTCATCCAGCTTCTGCAGAGTTTTCAAAAGGCCCCTCTCCAAGGCTGTAGGGAAAAGGCAACAGTGGAAGGGAAAAACAATCATGCAGAATTAGGCCATCCCTCTAGAGCAGTGTTCCTCAACCTTCGCAACTTTATGATGTGTGGACTTCAACTCCCAGAATTCCCCAGCTATGCTGGCTGGGGATTTCTGGGAGTTGAAGTCCACACATCGTAAAGTTGCTAAAATTAAAACACAGTGCTTTAGAACTTCTACTGCCAAGCAAGGTACACAGAATGCAATCCGCATCTTTCAAATCAGCCTCAATAAGGAAGAGGGCCTTTTTGGTGGTAGCCAATGGATGGAGAAAGAGCCTCCTGGGAGGAGTTCAAAGTACACTTTGATGACTTCGACCACCTTTTATCACTGCTGTTTATTGGGGTATTTGTTCTGACATTTACTTTATTGCTTTTGTTATTTTTATTTTTGTTATATGGTCAACCTCTTTTTGCAAGGCCAAACAGGATATATAAGGAAACAGCAGATTACCCATGAACAAATGTTTGAGTTATTAATACTAGTATTAAGAATCTTCACCATTACCAACCATAATAACAATAATTAACTGACAGCCATTTGGGGATAACGGTCAAGGTGCTGGACTAAGAGAAGGGAGACACGGGTTCTAGTCCTCCTCTAGGCATGGAAGGCAGCTGGGCGACTTCGGGCCAATCACACTTTCTCAGCCCAGCCCACTTCATAGAGTTGTTGTCTGGGGAAAACAGGAGGCAGGAAGAATATGGACGCTCCCCTGAGTCATACAAAATAAAGTGAGATATTACTCTAATAAATGAATTTTAAAAACTCCCATTTTCCTTGCTTTACTCCCACCTCTGCTTTTTAGGATCAACCATCAACAGTAAAGGAACAAGCAGTCAAGAAATGGGCCACAGACTAGCACTTGGTAGAGCAGCCATGAAAGCCTTGGAAAAGATACTCAAATGCCATGATCTGTCTACATGTATAAGGATCAGAACTGCCCAAACCATTATATTCCCTGTGACATTCTAGGGAAGTGAAGGTTGGACTTTAAAAAAAACAGGACAGGAAAAGTATTATGTCTTTGAACTTTGGTGATGGAAGATTCCTGAGAATACCATGGACAGCCAAGAAAACAAACTGATGGATCATTGAACCA